AGAGAGAGAGAGAGAGAGAGAGAGAGAGAGAGAGAGAGAGAGAGAGTAGAAGCCACGAGGGTAGAAGGGACATTCTGCGAGTGACAGTTAGTGTGTAGCAATTTAGTTAACCGTTTCATCGCTGCCTTTTGAGAGGTAACGAGGTCTGCTTGTGACAGGAGCGTCACTAGAAAGCCGAATGTTTCGATAGTAGAGGCAGTCAGCTGGTCGCGGCACGAGACCAACGCGACCGAGACAGAGAGAAGTGTCGGTGAACGGTACGGCCGCAAGTTTTTCTGGACAAGAAAATCGATACGATGCCTTTTTCTCGGCGGCGCGACGAATTCAGGAAGTTTTATCAGCCTTTTGGGTATCGCAAGCTCGAAGCAAGGAGACGGAAGAAGCAAGGGACGGAGGGTGGGAATTGGTTGAGATAAATGCGCATTCACGAGGAATTGTTCGCGTTACTGCCGCGGCACCCTTGGGATACCAATAGGGCGCGCAATGCCGGGAAATTCGTGTCACCTACTTCTCTTTCTACGGCGCAGTTCGGCGTGTGACTAATGGCGGCATATTCATGGCACAGCCTCGCCTCTCCACACCCCCTCAACACACCCCCTTGCGAAGCTCTGGCAGTTAACCTCAGACAACCCCTTCGTCGCGATAATATACGGCTGCCCTTAAATTTTCGTTCCCCTTCGATTCCTCCCTCCCCAACCCCGACATCGGCCTACTCCGACACGTATGGTGGAAAACCTCCACGTTCGCTCCGGTTTCCCGTTGATAACCGATCTAACTCGACCCCGAGGCCGTTCCAGCACGAACGTACGCGCCGGGAACGTTTGCGAAATTCCGGCTACGTTTTTATCTCCGCTCGGCATTTGTTATATGTTTGATAAATAACGAAAAGGTGCGAAGCGCTGGCGAATGATGACGACGTTGTTCGTGAAAACACGTTATTCCTCTCGGCGATATCCCTGCGTGCATATTTTCGTAAAGTAGAGGAAATCTATAGCGCCGGGTTCGATAACTTCATCGCCGTATCTAAGTATTATAAAATATCGAGACTCGAGCTGGAAGCCCGAGCAGAGAGCGGTATATAACGGCGCGGCATCGAACGATCCATGCGAGAGCACGTTTTCACGATCGAACTCGTTACCTTAAGGGTAAGACGTGGAATTACTTAAGAGGTGATAGGCGTTTGACGGTAAAGTCTCGCTGCGAACGAGTCTGCGGCACGGCGTGCGCGAAGAAAAGGACTCAAATCGTTTTACGAGGGTAGTTTTAAAACAACTTTACGAGAACGCCACAGAATTTTCGAAATAAATTTACATCAGTTTTACTACCCCTAATATACATAAGTACCAGTGTTGGGCACTGATACACGAGCGTACACTCCAATCACTGTTAATGTAAGTAACCACGGCTACCAATGGCTAGGCAGTCTAGGATACGAGTTTTCAGGAAAGAAAAGGATAGAACTTTAGAATCTCTTTACA